CCACAGTTTAATGCAGCAGGAGACACGTGTTATTAACCCCGTGTAACCAGAATCTGCGTTTGCTCGCTGGCACTGTCAAGTCAATTCCAGCCATTCACTCTGATCAAAGAGTGAACTTTACAATGATTATTATAAATAAGTCATTCGACAATAATCGCGTGTAACGTACGACACGTTGGCACGGACGGAATAAAACTTTCAGAACTGGAGATGAAATTAAAATGTAAACAACGTACCGTGCATCAGCATACTATTTATAGCTATTACGTGTAACAAATAAAAATATCATACAAGTTGGATCGATGTTATTCTTAAATCTTGTCCCCCCTCGGCGAAATTTGCATTCTTGCCGAGAAATCGGAAACATCCGATCTAACAACGGATCGATACGAACACCCCAGAATATTCCCGGATATTTTAAACTCGGCACGTCTACCCACCGCGAGTTAAATCCAGCCGCAGACGAATTATCGAATAAAAGCATGGGGGGAGAGGAAGGGGAAAAAATGGCTCGGTTTTCGCTACTATTTCATGAGCAGCCAGAATCCTCGGGAACCTACTGACCCAGAATCTTGAAAAAGACAAGCGTGACGTTTACCGCGTACGAAGATTCTCGATGCCACGAGCGAGATTTACACGGTCAGTTGATTGCTAAGATCAGGCCCGGACAGTATCCGTGGAGTATCGAGAACGGAACTCAACCGAACCGGTCTCTATCGATCGATACAGCTATCAAAGCTGTCTCCCTGTGATACTTTATTCTCTCTTTCTTTCCTCGAAAATAACTCGCACGTCGAAACGTTTCTTCCCGCGTGCGACATCGATTCACGCGACGAAAGGGCAAATTGCATCAAACGTCGCGAAGCTTCGCGTTTCCCTCGATCAGTGGATCGCGAAAATATTCGTACAGCGATCGATTAAACAAAATATTTTACATATAAATCATTATAATCTCAATGATAATAATTGAAATGCACTTGCGTTGTTGCTCGACTAATTTTGAGAAGAGAATCTATAATTCTAATAAAAATCGTACTTTCGACGAGTTTGATTGCAGATTTTGCATAAATTGTTTCTCGTTGTTAATGTTAACCTATAAGATTATCAGTGTAACGTTTCATTTGCAATTCTATCCGATTAATTTACATTATCGAGGTCTGTCTCCTAACACTGTAGATGTGGAGAGGATACAGTGATCATCAGATTGCAGATTTTTATGCATTTATGGAAATCTCGAAGCTACAAAAGTGTGTAGAATGCGCGCGATATGCAAATAACGAAAATATGACATACAATAATATTTAATAGACACAATTAATTAAATATTCTACCTGTACCTGCGTTTCATCTTTTCAACTACGTAAACATTTTAATAATGAATTTGTTTTAATTATATTAATTGCAAACTTGCATAAACATTTCTGATCTAATCGTTGCATTTAATTACATCAGTTACGGATTTATCCAAATATTTGTAATTTGATCAAACATGTTAGATATTTTTATATATTTTCGTCTGTCACATGCACTCTGTGCATTTTTTGTACCTTGTAAATGTCACAAAATTCGCAGTGTATTGATTGAACTGATCTTCTACACAGAAAAAGCTCTTTCAAAGAAATTGCAGAATCCTCTTTTTAAAATATTTTGAAATTTCATTAGCACCGCAATGAAATACAGCTGTCACAATTATACTGCGTATTTTCATGCACGTAGTTGTATTAAATTTTCATGAATATAATTGAAGAAATGAAACCTAAATGAAAATTCATTTCTTCTACGTATTATCACAATAAATATTCGTTTTTGAACATTTCATATATTACGTGCACCGTGTGCATTTTCTGTATCTTCAGATTTTTCATAAATGCGCAAAAATTCGCAGTCTGGTCAAACTTGAAAGTTTGTCCACAAATATTTGATACAATTAGAAATATATTAGAGATATATTTCGCGAAACTGTTCCGTTAGCCTCAAAACTGGATATTATACTTATTCGCATTGTGTACTAATTTTTCAAATCAATACGTACATTTTCAGATTGGTTTTAAATTTTGTCACAAATGGTGACAAAATTCCAAAAACGATTTATACACGTGATTTATTTTTTCCACGTCGAGTCTTCGAACGAAGACGAGAAAAAGAAAAAAAAAAAATATCTCCGAGATGGCAAATAATCGCGCAAGTTCTCAAAAACACGTTTTGTTGTTCGACGATTGATCGATCTTCACAGTACGTACGTGAAAGCGATCACGACACAAGTTGAACGAGTGTGTTGCATCCATGAGAGAGAGAGAGAGAGAGAGAGAGAGAGAGAGAAGTTACTCTCTGTCGTTTGTCCGCGTCTCATTGTCGGTATTCACGATTGAAAATGACACAGGTATCACACAGTTTACGAGAACTGACCGACGCTACAAGGATAAATCGGCGCCGTTTATTCGCGCTGGCATTTTTGCATGCAACATGTAAACCGGTCGCGCGATGCAGCGATAACTGAATAAATTGATTTCACGGGATATGCCAGAGCGGTAGATAGATACGCGTTATAATAGGTTTTTCGGTAATGTCCGGCGTTCAACGTTGCCCCAGCCTAATGAATATGCAGAGCAAAAATAAATTAAACGAGTAAGATTGCGTCGCCGGGGTTAATTCGAACGGCGCGAATTGAACGAACAGCTTTATGAAATTATTAACGTGAAATTGCCCCGGCCCAGAGTCCGAGATTTCGCTCGGTATATTAAAATTTGTGCGTTGCAGCGGCCGTAATTTTGGAATATCTTGTCAAGCGAAGAGGTGGGAATATTTTTTGAGAAAAATGTATCGCGTGTGTTGCTCGTTGGTGCTGTAAAGTTAAAATTATCTTCGCTTCTATTTTTTCCTTTTTTTTGTGGAAGATGAAATATATCGAAATGACGTTTTATCGAATTAAAAGATCTTACAAATTAATGAATTAATTTCTCAATACTTCTTTTTTGCGGAGAACACATGTATCGAAATTTCATTAGCGGCGTGAAATTCGAATATATCTTTCGAACCAATCGTTCAATCATTTAGACACGATTTCATTTGGACAGTGGCAGCGACGAGGTAAAATATTTTCCGAGGCTATCCGTTTAGTTATTTCAGACACAATTTTTGTAGTGACCGACTCGATTAATCTCTTGATTTAAAAAACGGGTCAATAGTTTCGAAAAATATAAGATATGAAATATACACTGGAATTCACTGAAAGTGTATCCAGACTTTGGACCAGCACTATGCACGCGCGTCCAAAATTAATAATCAAGTGACACGAGCTCTATCAAACTGTATATGTATACATATAATGCATTTAACACTGATAATACGTACTAATTTTCTGTCAACTGTACAGCAATTCCCTACTAATCGCGATGAATCGATTTCACAAATAAATCCCCCTCGCGGCCGTTCTCAAATTGACCCAATAAAATCCCTCTTCTGATCCGGCGCCGCTAGAACGCCAGAACGCTAACGAAATTCCAAAAACTTTCACAGAAACTGAGCGCGTAATATATTCAAAATACATACATAGAAAATTTCCGACCGAGAGCCACCACGCTCGCACAGTATTAAGTTACACTCTTAAGGTTTCCTATCAACGTGAGATCAAAACTGCATTAGAGGAACACGCCCCTAAACGATTTTCAACGGTGGCGGCGGCGGTAGCAGCCAGCGTGTGCTCGTGGGACAGCTCATGGGAAATCCCATCTTTACGCCGGATTCACCCTGGCCGAAACTGTTCGGCAAACTGCTCGCGAGAGCAAAATGGGCGAGCAGACCGGTCGCGAAATAAACCCTTTGACGTGCCTTTGACGCGCCTCAGTTCGTCCGCCGCATAGTTTGCAAACTGCTCGACGACAGACAGGCGATATACAGGAACTCGTGGGGGGGGGGGGGAATACACGGTAGCTTACGCGCCGTCGTTCGGACAGTTCGACGCAAGCTCGATCGAGAGAGATGCACCGTGTTTTTATATACGCGCATTCCCTTTCCTGTTAATTAATTACAATGGCACCGCGTCTCTGCCGTTTTATTCTGATATATTCATTTACATGATTGTGCGATTTAATTAGAGTATATCTCGTTGCTGGTTATTCATTTATGCTTTGCGGTGGATTTTTATAATGGGGGAATTTTAATCCGTTGCTTCTTGCGACTTCAAAATTGAAATTAAACCTTGGGAACCTCCAAATTGATATTGAGGTAAGGATTCTTAAATTCTACGTTTATCCTCTGCCTCTTGATACTCGGCGAAATTTGATACTTTGATACTTTGACACTTGATACTCGATGAAGTTTGTAGAACAGATGCAGTTTAAAGGCGCTCGACTGTCGTTTTCCATTTGCTATTTACTTACACTAATCGGTATTGTCTATTGGCTCTATCGGTATTTGGTTGCTGGTAGGTATCATTTTGTACGACTGAAGTAGTATCTCCACTCTGATTTGAAATGTAATTGTTATTCTATAGTAGAGATCCCCATATATGTTTCAACTCAATTTTTGACACGCGAGCACGCACGTATCCAATATTATCCAGTTTCATTCGATATAATTATTATTAGTGCGTCATAACAAGAATATGAAACAAATAACATCAGGTCATACGGAAGCTGTTTCGCTGAAGAAAATATTAATTCATTAACGATTGCTTCATTGAATCCCCTATTCGTATCCGAAATTACATTCTCACTTGATTCCATACAATCCAGAATATCATACATTCATTTCGGAAATTACGTCTCGTAATTCTTCTTTGATTTGAAAAAAACGTTAGGTCGTCTGTTGAGGAAAGAAATATAGCGTCAACTGATGAAAATTGAATTCCCTAGAGATTCCAAAATTTAGGAAAACCGATAACCGATCACATTGTCGACGTTCGTCATTTAATAATATCTCGCGCGCGCTTGCACACTTGCGTGAAAAAAAGAAAAAAAAAAAACGACGAGTGAAACGACGACAGTGTACATCTCGCTCACCTCCGTGTCGTTCCACCACATGTGCAGCCGATAGTTCCTGAGGACGCTGCGATCCTCGTTGATGTGGTCAACGGCGAGCTTGACCGAAGGCATGACGCCACGTCCGATGTGGCTCTCGGGCACGTGGCTGCCGTACGGAAAGAATCCGGCGATGTAAACGTCCCGTTTCTTCGTGCTGCCTATATTGATCGGCCTCTGGCCGGCGCAGCCGATCGTCCCGTCGATCCACAGAACGAACGCGCAAATGTAAGCGGCCGTCAAGAGACCGGGCCGCCAACGTCGGCTTGGTACGACCGTTTCAGCCATATCCCGCGACTACTTCTTCTTCTTCTTCTTTTTCTTCTTCGGCCGTCGCGCGAATATATCTCTCCCCTCCCGAGATTGTGTGTGTGTTTGTGTGTGTGTGTGTGTGTGTGTGTTTGTTAGAAAGGCGAGACACGACGAGATCTATCGATTACTGATTGACACTTTTTAATTGGCTTTATTACCCGGCTACCGATTACTCTCGTTGGCGGTAATCCTTGCGCCACCGGTTCGTACTATCTCATTGTGCGCGTGTGCATTGAAAGCAGATCGCTTTTTGCCGCTGCTTAAATTTAATTGCAATCGAGGCGACTTAATTGACTGTGTCGAACGGCCATGCTTTCATTTTTACCCCCTTATCTTTCTCTCTCTCTCTCTCTCTCTCTTCTTTTTATTCTCTTTGGAAAGAGTCGTCGCCGTTCTTCGATAACGTTAGGTCCACCGTTGGAGTCTCGGGTATCGAGGGTGCTCGCGCGGCCAACGGGATCGTGCAAACGCGCGATTTCATTCCCGCGATCGACGATATTTGTGTTTCATCTCGCGCGGTGTTCTCACGGTGTTCTTTTCTCTCGTTTACCACCGAACAGAGCGTCACACCGTCCCCCGGTTCACCATTCACCGAGGGATGTTCTCCTAATGTTCAAGCGTTCCACATATTTCCGTTTTCTGGTTAGCTGCTGTTGACGATGCCATTGGTGCCGCCTTAGCTGCTGCTGTCGCTGACACTGCTGCTGCCTTCGTCGTTGCTTCCACGCTTGCGGCTTGGCTTCCATCTTCTCGCTCGCCGAGATGCTTTCACCGAGGCAAAGTCCCGTGACTGCAGGATCTCGCTTCGATCGGATCTGATTTCTTTTCTTGGCGATAGTCTACGATTTCGAATTGGCAAAGGGGCGAGCTTCCGAAGGAAAAGCGATAAAAATAGGGACTTTTTGGACTTTCTTCTCGTGCGCAGCAGCGGACAGTTTTGGGCGATGATTATAACTTTGAGAAACGTGGTTTCAAATCTTCACAGTTGTTCACGGTCGCGCGTCGCCGATCTCCATCACTGAACCAGCCACTAGGCCCGATTAGAGAATCTGCAACAGAAATTCGTATTTCTCAGATTAGGGCGACGTACGAATTCCAATGGGACGCGGTATCAGCCACGAGTTCTGAATGAAATCCTGATCTGCATCGATTTGTTGTCCTCGAGAAAAGGGAGGAATGAGAAAGTTTGGATTGGCAGGATGTAGAATGTACAAGAAACGGGAACGAAGAACGTTGGCATATTTGGTATACTGAGGATATTTCACAACGGCCGACTTTGTACAACTTCTGTGCCACCAATAATCCAAAATCTTGATATTAATGTTGTCGAACATTTTTACGGGCGTTCGAAACGAAAACTGGGAAAGCCATTTTTACAAATCCACCGACTCGAACTTAATAGATCGGATGCTTTGTAAAGTTTCAGAGATTGCCCGATGCAAAATATTCACATCAAGATGATGGAACTAATTTTCACAGAAAGCTTGCAACGGTGTAATTAATTATATTTCAATTAATTATAACTTTAACTTCTCCGTTGCAGGTTTTATATTTAATTCATTTAATCGTCCATCGCCTCTGCTTTAAAAATATACATAATAAACAAGGTGATTGATTTCAATCCATAAATGCATATTTTAATACAATTAATCGACACGGCTGATCATTTCCTATAAAAAAAAAAACCTTTCGGTTATTTACGTCGAGAAATGTTTAATCAATTTAACTTGAACTTGAATTCTACAATAAAATACTCGTATGAAAGACGAGAGACGTGTTTTATAAAATTAAACTTAAAATATGTTCTAAACTAATCAACATATACGTACATTAATAATTTCTTTTTGTAGAAAATGTCGAGCTGGATCAAGAAATGTATCATTTCGTTTAAAAACAGTTTCACGGAATTACTCACGTCAAATCGTGACCCTCTCGAAACCACACATTTCTTCATACCTGAACAATTTTTTCTACAGGGAGTTTACGAATAATTCGCATTCACAGATGAAAATTATATTATCTACAATTAATAAACGCGATAGTTCGTTAAAATGAATGTTCAGTTTGTTCAGTTTAACGTACGAGCTGTAACGTTATCCTCGCATGCATAACAAAGATGGATAACCCAAAATTTCCTGTTCCAGCGGCGAGTTTCAGTCGCGGTTCGACGATTCCTCGTTAATAGCGCACGAGGGATCGTTAATCACTAATTAAACGCAGATATCGGCCGGGGCAAGACAAGTTGATCCGTTTGCACGTTTGCCACACCCTCTGTATACCTACTTGCAGTCTATTCGTGCTTTCTCTCCCGAGAGAGAATGCGTCTACTTGTTGGAAGTTGCCACGCTAATTCCGATATGGTAGCAAGGATGTAGTCGCAACGAAGATGACGAACAACGGCAGAATTAACATTGAGACAGCAAGCTGAACAACTTGCGCCGTTCAAACATAAATTTGTCGCAGATAGCTGTTTACGCGAGCCAAAGAAAGGCCATCCTCCTCCGTAGTCTTGGTTGCTAATCTCTCGAAAGATTTGAGCGAAATTTTTCACTCGTTTACTGTCTTCTATTCGAGGAATTTGTAAATTTTTAAATTTATGACACTCGGATATTCGGAATTTGTGATAGTTAGATTTCGTGACGTGTTGTTTGCAAATGGCGTTCCATTCCGAAGCAAATTACAAAATAGAGAAGCAAAATCGACAAAAAGTTTATTTATGATAATTCCTTCTCTCTTTCTAGTGCTTTGTACTATTTTCACTTGCACGCTTGAAAGCTCGGAGAGATGTATGTAGAGAGATGGTTCTAATACCGTGACTAAACTTGTAAATCCGCGAATTGAATCGTTCAGAGCTCGTAAAAAACAAACGCAATGGCCGCCATTTGCAACGTAGCAGATCACGAGACAAAGAAAAAGTATCGCCTACAGTAACTGTAGCCGACTGGCAAAATGTTTATTTGACCAGCAAAGACAAATTGCCTCTTTGAAAGATAAGTCAAATATATTTTGAAAAAAGAAACAAATTCAATGACATTCGCGCAAAAATTCACTTTTCGAGAGGCTCGTAATATTAGAGAAATCCATTAGTAATGTCGTTTTTCGATGCTGTAATTTTGAAATTAATCTCACGATTATATCTGTAACATCGCGAATTTCGTAAAACTTCGAGATTTTCAAGACCAAACGATTAAATCGTCCGGAACGAGCGCTACGAGGTGAACTAGAACAGCAACGTAGCAAATTACAAGATAAAGAAGCAAACATAACCGCCACGGCCAACGAAAAAGTTTATTCGAAAGGCAAAGGTTGGAAAATGGACGTCACGCTGCGATATACATCCGATAGTTCCGAAGTGCTATCGATTTCGCGTTCGGTTTCCACTGGCAGTGTTACACGAGCGAACGTCCTTCAGGAAGAGAGAGATTGTTACGTTGAAACTCGTCGAATCAAAATTTCGTAGCAAATTTACTTAATTGCCACGCTCGCCGGGTGTGCGTGTTTTATCTTGCCGTTGCGGAACAGAGAACGTTTAAATGAACCACGCGCCATTAAACGTCGCGAATTTCTGCCGGGGTGAACAAAAAATTAAAATTAAAAAAAAAAAAAAAAGAGAGAAACGAAAAAAGAAATAACAAAGAGGCAAAGAAGAAGAAAAAAAAAACACGGCAATACGAAGAATATTACCGCCATTTGCCGAGTCACGCGTTGCATTGTAATTTTTGTAGGTTCCCATAGCGCATCGACGATATTAAGAAGTGCATTCTCTAATGAACTTCTTTCATTAAAGCGAAGTGATATTCGTACGCTCGCGTCTGGCCAGTTACGGAGTAATACTACTTAACTGCGATGCACCAGCGCCAGGCTGGATACCTGTCCGATTTTACTCCTCTTTTTTCTTTTTTTTTTCTTTTTTCTTTTTTTCTTTCTTTCTTTCGGAGAATTTTCTAATTTCTTTAGGAAATAATCACACCGAAAATTACGTACAACCGGTATTGCATATAACTGAGATACAGAAGTTCAGGAAAATTTGAGATTATTATTGTCATTGGAGATATAAATCGTTTATTTTGATAAACTCTTGCTATTCGTTGGTTGATTGAAAATTGCACGACGTATAAAATATTGAAAGCAGAATATCCAATAGATGATAGAAGACAGAGAGAAAGAAATTTCTATTTCTGTGATTACGTTACTGAAGATTTAAAAATATGTGAAAACACACACTTATTATTAGATGATATTAAATGATCATTAGACTACAGATTTTTACGAATATAATTATTAATTTAAAAAGTGAAACCTAAATAGACACTTGTTTTATTTGTCACTATAATAAATATTTTATTTTGAATGTTTTGCATATCTTTACAGATTATGTGCATGGATTCCTAGATGAAATAAATCTTTTTATATGTATTTCTGAGAAATATGATCTCTAAATTCTATATTAGCATTAACGTCTTCAAACATAATCACTTAAATTAATTAGTTTCGACACAACGAAACGAAGTGTTCGTTTTGACTCGAAGAGGTAGCCATCTCCTTTGAAATTGTAGCGACCTCTACTTCGAAGAATTTAGATCAACGACATCTATGTTCCGTCGAGATTTAATATAAACGATATTTAATATAAACAATAGAATATTTAAAAATAGCTATTAATTTTATTATCACCATAGAAATGTTTACTGACACTAATATATATTGTAGCCATAGTAGAAATTCTTCATTCATTATTTCGTTATTTAATTTTCATTTATAGAAATTATTCGTCATTTAACTTTCATTGTCTAATCATCATTAAATTATTAGTAATTGTATATTTTGTGATATTGATAATATTTTTATATAAACAACTAAAATTAATTACGGAGTTATTATTTATTTATAGTATTGTGATATAAATATAAATTATCATAATCACTATAAAATCTCAGCATGCTGCTCTAACTCTAAACGTCTGAGTGATACACGAAAAGAAGAAAGAAGATGAAATTCCGGGGGGAAACGATTGATTGTTTCACGTGGTTATTAAGAAACGTGCGGGGAAATCTTGGCTCGCCCGGAGAGAGAAGGATGATAACGGTGTGGAAGGTTGAGAGATCAGGTAGCTCGGAGCTTCTCCTTGACCGGAACACTCGAGCCGATGAACTTCGGATGATCGTAAAGTTAAGTGTCCGGAACATCTAAATCTTAAGTACCCAATTACAATAGCGGCAGCTGTCGATAACGTTCTCTTACATCAGGCGACATCATCCATTTCGAGAGACACTTGTTCGTAGGGATCGCGACGTTAAACGCGGCCTTGCTATTATTCCACACATGTACGCCATGCACTAATTACTTGTTCGTAATTGTAACGTCGATCGACATTCGCTTTTACTCAACCCTCCTTGAGATTACGATCGACCTGATGGACACGGTGTCGTTCGTGAGTATCTGGACACCTGATGCGATTTTCCTTCTTTCAGTTCACCGATCGACGAAATGAAAAACACTGCCGAATGTGCGAAACACACGTTGGAGTTTTCAAAGAAACGAAATGAATGTTTATATAAATTACACACAACTTGTACAATTCATACTTTCATAAATACAATTAAACAAAAGAATGTTTTACTTGTTAAATACTCTGACAGCTGTACGTTTCCATATTTTATTCTGGATATTTTATACTTTTGAGCTTGAAAAATTATCAGGTACGAACACCTGGTTAATTTTGAACTAGACAATTGTCCGTTATATTACCGGATAATTCCACTGAATTTTAAACCGAACAATTGTCCATTGTATCGATAAGCTTCAACATTTCAACACAATGGAATAATTTTCAACTTGTCTGTTTAAAATTTCCATTCGCAATGCGAAGCAACTTTTTTGCTAAATGTAGTGCAGTTTTCAGAGAATTTGAAATGCTACTGCCATTGGACAGTCGTCTTTTGTTATTAATTACTAGAACTACCAAAATGGTGAAAATGACCATTTGAATATTTTAATGTTTGATATTTCATAGATATGAAACACAGCGTATTTGTGAAAATTTGAATTA